TGCAGCATGCGCTTGATCCTTTCGGTTACACGCTGCCGGATTCCCATCCAAAAGCGGATTTGTTTGAATTGTTAATTTAAGTTAATGAGTACTTTTGTGCTTTGTGTTTAAATAATAATATAATTATTCCGCAAGGTTGTGACAATATGAGACGTTCTCTACGCGCGCTCATAGGCCTCATCTTCTCTCCTCAACACATTTAAAGGAGGATCATGGGTCAACGACTCAATTTGCAAAACAGTCTTTCAAAGAAGCTGTTTAATCTTTTAAAGAATGCAAACTTTGCTTCAAGCTGCAGAAAAAGACGCGTCAAGAAATGGTTGCTGAGTTGGTCAATGTAGGCTCTACCTTTCAAGCCATCAGCAAGGGATGGCAACGTCGCGAAACTGAATGTCATTGTGGCGAACAACAAACTTCTCTTGTTCCTGTTTCGAGGATGCCGACGATGAGGTTTTGCTGAGGAGAAAGAAGAATTCGCCCGCGAAAGTTTCAATATGTTTGGCAGATTTCAGTGGAGGAAATATAATCTTTCATTATTAAAGCTTCACAAAATACGTAAACAGAATTCCCGATATTTGGTCAAAGGGTGTCGGTCAAAAGAGCCGTAAGGAACCTTGCACACTTAGGGTGGCATTGTCTTCATATTTCGTCTGACCAACAAATCAAAGTTGCGACGGAATGTGGATATTTTGGATTTCGCGGGAATGAAATTTCTTTATACTGATGAACGTAGATAGTAATTTATTTAATTTATTATGTATTCATTGGAAAAATCATACCCTAGTTCGCTTGGAAGTGGAAGTGTGGGAGTTCTTGTGTTTGAACTTGTCTCAGAGGGGGCTCCCTCCTTGCACAAAAATTTTTGAAGTGCAAAAATTTTCCTTTTCTCTTTTTCCTTTCCTTCTCTCTCTCTTTCAATTCATCAATCATGGTGTGTATCAAATGCAAGGGGTTCCTCCCCGCTCCCTCCTTCATCCCATCCCATCCCATCACATCCCATCAGTTGTCACCATCATCAAACATCCTGGACCAAGATAGCAGGAAATGAAGGATCATCAATGTTCATTCTGGAAGAATTGATGGATTCAGCCTCGGCAAGGAGATTTTCGGGGGATAGGACTTGGAGAGTTACCACATCAATGAGTTGATGTCTGCCTGATTAGGAAGATTCGTTGGGAGTCTTCAAGTTTTTTCTGCATGCAAAGGACAATATCAAAAGACACATGGACAATAGGATACGCTTCTGTGGAAAGACTGTTTTGGGGGAGTAAAGCTGCAGTAATTGTGGTCTGGACGTATCACTTGTAGACGACTTAATCTGGGCGTACATATGGATATAAGCACTCTTCTCTCGTCGACCACTGTAGCTAAACATGCATTGTTTCTTGCTTCATTAGGGTATCAGCCGAGACTCTCGCCACAAAAGAAATGCCACCGGTGCCAAGCGCGCTCACTTCCGGTAAGTTATTTTTGTCATCTTATGATCATGATCGACAAAGTATCGACATGTCTGGAACTGCAATCTCACCAAATCTTACATTGTAAATTGACAGCAAGAAGAGGAAGTTCGAGCTCGGTCGTCAAGCCGCCAACACCAAGATCGGAGCCAAGCGGTGTGTACTTTTTTTATGATGATCTTTTTAGTGTAGTGAATCGTGGGAATGTTGAAAGGGGACATCAGTATTTAAAAAACCAAATCTCTTCATGTCAAAAAATTAGTGTCCACGCCGTCCGTGTCCGTGGTGGTAACGAGAAGTTCCGTGCTCTCCGTCTCGACGCTGGAAACTTTGCCTGGGGCTCTGAGCACTGCACTCGCAAGTGCCGTGTCGTCTCTGTCAAGTACAACTCCACCAACAACGAACTCGTCCGTACCAACACCCTCGTCAAGGGATGCATTGTCGAAATCGATGCCACCCCCTTCCGTCAATGGTTCGAATCCCACTATGCTACTCCCCTCGGTCGTCGTGGCAAGAAGGTAAATATTCATTTTTGCTGGTTACGTGATTACTGGATGATCTTTGCTTTTTTTC